TTTGTATTTGATGGTACTGATGCTACTGTTCAAAACTGTGGACCCTGTGACCACACAGGATAAAGTGTGTGTAATTATATCCTGACAGACAGAATACTACTGGATGGAATGAAGTAATCTGGGTTTGTTACAGTCTGATTCAAAGTAATGCCCCTTCATCTGGAGAGGTGGTGTGTGTTTTCATTATCTCCGGCACTACAGAAAATACTTACAAGGATTACAAGAACACGACTTTTATTTAATCAAATCAGTGGTGCCTGTAACTTGGAGATGTGACTTCTTTTCCAACATGTTTGTATTTGTAACAAATTTTTAATTAGGAAATCTGGGATATTTATCTTTTCACAAAAACTAATTAGTCTGTTTCAAGGTACCATTAAATTGATAGATTATTTTTAGAGAGAGTAATTTGATTATTCTGTATTATAAAATAGAAGTCAAAATCCAAAAGACTGATTACCTGCTATTCTATAAATTTGTCATCCCTTATGTTTTAATTTGTCCACCTATCCCTATTTGACAGATTTAGTTTGATGTTCTTTTTCTTTCTGGGCATTTATTTAAAGCTTTGCCCACCCCCCACCCTGTCATCCCCCACCATAGAACTAGTGTTGTTTCTTGTGCTATTGAGTTTGACATACTTAAAAATTAGCTTGTATTATGCGTACTGATTAACAGGAGTTCTATTTAAATGAAATCAAAATTGAATGCTACAAGTGCCTGTTGATACCATCATAAAAAAGTCCATAAAAACCAGTTTTTAAGTGTTAAAGAAACACATACGTTTCTAACTTAGATAATGCTGAATACAGTTCTTATGCAACACAACTCCTTTCCCAATTCCCTACTTGCTGTATTAGCCTGTCTAGTATAGAATTAGTCTTAATTACACAGAAATTCTTCAATCAGCTGATTTTTTCCTCTTCTATGGTGTTCTTAGTCTTAAATTCTTTCTATGTCTGTTGGGGGGAAAAAAAAGTATTTTCTCATATCTAATTCCTTTTACATTTGTAATAACTGAATGTTCAAAAAGACAAAGCTTTTCTTGCAGCTGTTGCAGTTTGTTTCAGGAAGGATACCCCACTTATGCTTTCTTTGGAAAATCCAGCAATTGTTTCAATATTATTTCTCACAATGAGTTGCTTTAGAATGTGACTATATGTAAACTGGCAATAGACAGCTTTGTTATTATTTTGATTTCCTGTACAAATGTTCAACACTATTTTGTATCTGTTCTAGTTACTTTGAAATAAGCTCTAAATTGTGTCACAACACAATAAAACCTTTCTTTTTTAAAAAGGTTAACTAAAAAAAAATAAATCTAACCCTCATAACTAAGGGTGAGGTGAGAAAGCTGGAATAAAGATGAAGAGCAAAAGGCTCTCATTTACTGAACACTGAGTTTAGACTGCATAGATTCATGCTACCTTTAAATACACAGTTAAAGTTCTGAAATGACAGGAACTTTCCCAGTGAAACAAAAAGTTCCACATAACAGAGTCTAGAGAGACAAGGAGGCTTGTTGGAAAGACCAAAGCACAGTGTACATATAGAGAGGAACTGGAGAAAAGAATTCTGGGATGGATATGACTAAAGACAACTACAAAACTTTAAATATTATTTTTATGAATCAAAATATAACATATTTTGATAACAAAAATATCTCAGGTTAGGGCAAAATTTGGGGAAAACACCTGCTAATGGATTGGGATAGTGAAAAGGATTATTCTTTTTCCTGGACTTTTGAATGTGTAATTCTTTGTAAGAACTAGAAAAGCAATCACCAAAAAACAAATCCCACTGAAAGTGAGACAAGATAATTTCATTTATTAGAATTATTGAAGACCTGACAAGGATGCTGCCTTCTGTTGAGACCAAACAAGGGCATGGGCTTGAGATTTGCTGTGCTAAAGGCAGAGAATCTGCACAGTGAGGTCCCTATAAAGCAAACTGGGTATAAAGCCCCCTAAAGTGTAACTGGGTAGACAGTAATTGGGTAGATAATTGCTGTCTGGCCAGTTACGCTTTAGCATGAAGCTTTTATAATTTAACCCCTTTAACTGAGTCTAAATCAAAAGCCCTAACCTTTGTTCTGGCAAATCAGGAATGGAAAAAAATATATAGAATATCTCTTTAATGACATATGAAAGTAGAAGTCTGTATTTTTTACATTAAAAATAAATCACAGGTGTCTGTATTATATTTTGGTTTGAATATTCAGAAATACAAGGAATGTTATGCATCATTTACAGCAGAACTTTGGAGATATTGTACATAAGTTTTACTGTCACCTGAGGCCTCATCTAAAGTCAAGACTGTGTCTCTAATATCAGGTAAAACATTAAACAGAATTCAGCCAAACTGGTTCAAAACCTTTTGCTAAAATTCTTAATTTGATTCAACTTGATGTGAGCCACTACTTTCACTTGATTCAAAATACTGTTTGGTCACTGCATGTCCTTTTTCATTTTGTTTGTTAGTTTGTAGCCAATTTAGATGACTTTGCATTGGTTACATCAACTAGGAAAAAAATACTGAATTGATGCTGCCTAGTCAAAGTTGGGAATTTAGCTGAACTTCTGCAGTAAACACCAGTAATCGTAGGTGAGCAAAATGAAGTGGCACAAAAATTAAGCTGGTCTAATAAACACGCTGAATTTTGTTCTTTAATATCAGCAACTAATGAAAAAAAGTTGCACAGGTGTTTATTTTCTCCTTTTAGAAAGCAGAAATAAAAATACAGGTGGAAGAAAGTGGGAAAGAAAAGGAAAAGCAAGAGGAAAGAAAGAAAGAAGTATTTTTAAAAACCAGTCAGGCTAAGAAGATTAAGAACTCGAAATTCTTTGCTGTATCATTTTCATTTTCCATGCACTGTTTATAAGCTTTGCTCTCAACTATCTGATGAGAACCCATATGCATGTTGTTCTGGCTTAGGGTATTTTCCATCTGGACCCTTTCAGTTCTGGCAAATGAGATCCCATATTCCTGTTATCTGCACCAAAATTAACATGAAAATAAAAACATTATTTGTTAAAGTTCCCTCCTTGCTTAGTTAAGAACTTTCAATAATTTCCAAGTTATTTGCTATAAATTTTTAGTATCCTTGCCACTTATAGCAAGTATACTTCAGTAAATAACACAAATTCCTCTAACTTGTAAACTTCTGCTAGCTATAACCAGGTAGAAGCTGAGCTACTGTGGTACAAAGTTTATTCATGTAATGATACAGTCAGCATGAGCTATACCTGTAAACTGTGAACAGCCTGACATGAGGAATATCTCCTTGCTCTTTGATCTAATTTCTGCTTAAAATTCCTTCTTGACTGCAGTGCAGGATTCTACTGTGTGATGTCCCTCACTCTGCCAGTCAACAAGACAATGTGGCAGAGGCACCTGCCCAAGTGTTCTGCTGCAGCAGAAGCCTTGTAGCATCACAACCAATGGGCAAGGGGAACATGTGTGACCAAAGAAAGGCTTAATTCTTGAATATGCCTGGAATCATTGTTATCTGCAACAAACAAAAGCTCTAGATCAGGCAAAACCTGGAATTCCCTTCAGCCAATCTCTGGTATTCCTATTTTAAGGTCTCTTAGCAGGTCTTCAATTCCTTCAGTAAAAATGTTAAGTGTTTTAGAGCCTGCCATGCTGTGTTACACTTTTTTTTTAGTACTAGCTGAACCAATCCACAAAGGGTGTTGAGAGATTATCCCAAGAGCAGACAAAACCAGGAAATCATCTTGTGATTCAGAAAACTGTGGGAAACATCTGTTCTCATCCAAGCAAAAAAGGACATTTGATTCTACAGTTCAGCCACATGCATACTTTACACCAAAACAGGAAAAGACATCTTGAATTTCCTGAGAGGCAAGAATAATTTGGTAATGCAATTTTAAGTTGTGTTTGAGGTTTTTTTGGTCCAAGTTTGACGAAGACGTGGTTTCCTGCTATGGAATTGCTACTGTAGCAATACCTTTAATGTAGTAAATGTCTAGTATTTATTACTCTTTAGCTGGGGCCAAGTAACTTAAAAGCAACAGGTACTGAATTATTTCATTGATGTAAGTTCACAAACTATGCCAAGTTAGTTTTCTTGCATTTTCCAACACCAAACCCCTGCATCTCACTAGAGGCCTCTGTAACACCTCACGTCCTATGGACAGGAGCTCCAGCAAACCACAGTTGCATGGCCAGCACCTGCAGTCCCAGACCCTAGTTGGGGAACTGGTGACCTTCTGCACGGACATCTGGAGATCGTTGTCCCTCTGCCAAGGCAGGGGCAGCTGGAGGAGGTGACACAGGAGCGTGTCTAGACAGGTTTTGAATGCCTCAAGAGAGGGAGAACCCATGACCTTCCTGGGCAGCCTGCTCCAGCGCTCTGCCACCCTAAATGTAAAGTTCTTTCCCATGCTGAGGTGGAATTTCCTGTGTTTGATTTTATGGCCATTGCTCATCCAGTCACTGGGCACCACTGAAGAATCTGGCACCATCCTCTTGGCATCCACCTTTGGGATATTTACATGTGTTGATGAATCCTCTCTCAGGCTTCTCCAGACTAAACAAGCCCAGTTCCTGCAGTCTCTCCTCATATGAGAGATGTTTCAAACCCCAAATTATCTTTGTGACCCTCTGCTGGACCCTCTCCAGTAGCTCCTGGTCTCTCTTGTACTGAGGAGCCCAGAACTGGACACGGCACCCCAGACGTGCCTCACAGAGTGAGGTCCGTGGAGGCTGGCAATGGCCAAAGGGCAGGGATGGGACAGCTCAAAGCTAGAAGGGCTGCGGAAAGGCTCCGCTCCGGTCACGCGGCCCGGGCCGAGTCCCCGCTGCCACACTCAGCCCTCGGCGGCGCGCGCGGAATCGGACGCGCGCACGGGCGGTGCCCCTTTCTAGTACCTTCCCCGTTGCGCTGCGTCATCACGGCGCGCGGCGGCCGGGCCGAGCCGTTTCCGGTGTCGCGGGCGCGGCGCGAGCGCTCGGCTCGAGCCGCCGGGAGCTGCCGGGAGCCGGGAGCCGGGAGCCGGCAGCCAGGCCCCCTGCCCTGCCCTGCCCTGCCCGGTCTGGCCCAGCCCTGCCGTGCCCTGCCCTGCCGTGCCCTGCCCTGCTCCACTCCCTGCCCTGCTCCACGCCCTGCCTTGCCCTGCCCCGGCCCGCCCTCACACGGCAATGTCGGACAGAGCGGAGGGGCCCGCGGGGGGCCCCTCTGGCTCCCCCGGCTCCCCTGGCTCCCCCACCCGCGACTCCGCCGGTGTCTCCGAGCCGCGGATCATCAAAGTTACGGTGAAGACTCCCAAGGAGAAGGAGGAGTTCGCCGTTTCCGAGACCAGCAGCATCCGGCAGGTGAGGGGCGGCCGAGCAGGCTGAGGGGGCCGTCGGGGCCGCGTTGTGGCCGGGGCCGAGCGGAGCGCCGCCCGGCAGGGGAGCGCCGGCCCGCGGCTCCCGCCTCCGGCAGCGCGGGGCGAGGGCCCTGCCCGGTGACAAAGCAGCTTTTGCTCGCCCGGGTCGCACTGGGCCCTGTTGGGCGAGCACCAGCACCGATCCCGGTCCAGGAGAGGACTGGTGCCATCGGAGACTAGCGGGGGTAGTGGAGAAATGTGCCACCTCGTACTCTCCTCACCGACTTCTCTGTTGCGCTGCAGAGGGCCGGCTCGGAAGATGAATGTAGCTAATTCGTGAAGTCACTGAGTCGTAGAATCGTTTGGGTTGGAAGGAGACATCAAAAATCTTCCAGCTCCCCTGTCGTAGGCAGGGACACCTTCAGCTAGACCAGGTTGCTCAAGGCCTCATTTAACCTGGCTTGGAAAACTTCCAGGGATGGGCCGTCCACAGCTTCTCTGGGCAGCCTGTTCCAGTGCCTCACCGCCCCCACAGCAAAGAATTTTTTCGTAATTGCTAATCTAAACCCACTCTCTTTCACTTTGAAGCTATTGCCCCTTGTCCTGTCAGCACACGTTCTTGCAAACAGTCTTGCCTCATCTTTCCTGTAAGTTCCCTTCAGGTACTGGAAGGCCACAATTAGGTCACCCCAAAGCCTTCTCTTCTATCATTTTCTAGCTGTGAGTTGTCGTGTTGAGCTGACTGGTTTTGGTGGTAGTCGTCTCACTGGCTGGCTAACATGACTGTAGAAAACATATGCAGTCACTTGTATCTCTCTGTTTCCAGTGTTTATTTTGATCTAACACTGTCTTTAGAAACAGTGAGTTGCCTTCAACTTTGGGAAGTTGTAGCCTTGAACTATGTGTGTAAAATCTGCTGTCTCCTGTACTTTGATGTGCTAGTTACGGATATGGTACTTAGCATGGCATGGTTATGTCAGATAACCAAGGTATTAGGGATTTTGTGCCTCCCTGTGAAAGCCTGTGCCATAGCTGCTTCTGTCTCGAGCTAGTGACACCTGCTGATTCATCTGCACTGTCTTTCCTGCAAGTCTTCTAGTTTTGTAGAAGGTTTGCTGCACAAGTATTGGCTAAAATTTCATTTATTTAAATTAGAAAGCAACAAATCATAGAAAAGGTGCTATCAAAATGTAAAAATGCAGAGTGTCCTGCTTATAAAGCACATAGACATCGCTAGATTCCGAACTTCTTTCATTTTCCATAGGATTTCCCAGTTTTCTCCTTGAAATGGCTCTAAATGTGGCAATTTTGTGCTATTCCACATTTTTTGTGTGTTACTGGTATTGCAGACTTCATCAAAAAAAAGATTACATGTCTGAAAGCACCATTAATGTCTAGATACAGAACTTGGCATCATTCTTTACGTGTGAGCTGAAGGACACTGTCTGGTTAATAGAAGAGATACAGAAGATGAAGTAAAGGCTCTGAAACTTCAAATGTAGTGCTAGCACTTCAACTAGACTGTCAGACTTTTGTTTCACCTAGCTGTTGTGAATAGAGAAAATGCTAATATTTTTTTCAGGGTTTTTTTTTGTCCTTAAGTTTAATCTACATTCAGTTTGGTTTTTGGGGTTTTTTTGTTTGGTTGTTTTTTTTTTTTTCCTTTTGTACATCAGTGTTTGGGCTAGAAGTGTCCCAGACCTGAGTTTCATTGTGGTTTTCTCCAGCTGCCAATGCATTGAAGCTGCTTTCTTGTCTTCTCTAGTCCTTTGGCAGCTGCAGTGTTGTGTGCTGTGAGCTACTCTCTCTGCAAGCTTGATCTAGGCATTTCTCCCAAAAGTAAAATGTCTGTGTTTGCTTTTTAATGTTGTCCACTGCTTTCCCAGCAATCTCAGTCTGAAAGGGGTGCTTTTCATTTCTCTGTTCTCCACAGATTTGTGAGCAGCATCAATGCAGTTTTTGTAAAAGTCTTTGCAGTTTTGGGGCTTTTGTTTTGTTAGGATATTTCAAAAGACAGATTCATAAACTGAATCTAACCTGAGGATTTTGTTTGTCCTGTAAAGCAGTCAGCCATTAGTTGGGTCCTTTGGAAATAATAAACAGATTTGCTCTGACTGTGAATTTTGTAGTACATTTGACTTTTTAACAGTTTTTTTTCATATTTGAATACTGGTGAAGCTGCCACGTTTTCAAATAAACAGTTGTCATAAACCGAAATGGTTGTAAAACCTATCAAGAGCATGAATTTTTACTGAAAGCAAAGGGAAGTTTAGGGAATTAACAGAGGACACTACTTCAGATGTCTTTGTTGTCTACAGAGATGTCTTTGTTGTCTATATCTTAAACTGTGAGTGTTGTCTCTCTTGGAACTGTTGTTAAAATATTAGATCTGCAGTTATAACTTGATTCTTGTGAAGCAAGATTGCCCGGCTGGGTTGACCATTGGATTGAAGTCCCAGGCAGTGTAACAGCACTAAAAATGCACTGTCCCTGTAGTGTGACTAATATGAGCTTTTTCTCTTTAACTGCAAAAGTGAGCTGTTGATAATAATAAGCATCAACAGTAGATGCAATGTTTCTAGAACCAGCCTTGAAAATAGGTTAATCTCAAATACCAGGCAAGTTGCACATCTGTTCAAATGCATCTGTGATCAGCAAGTGTTTTGTACAGTTGAGATAGGTGGGCCAGTAACTTGTCAGCTGAAAAAAAAACCAAAAAAAAAACCCAGCAAGAGAAACTCCCTCAGTATATTTCTATCGCTAACATTAGAATTTAAAGAATTGAGTTGTTTATTTTTCTTTATGGTCGTTTCAGAATACTGCTAGAACATGAACCTAGATTTTCTAGGAAAATATTTTGTGTCATCAGGACCAAATTTAAGGGTAAAAAAAATTAAATTTTCTGTTGCCCCATTAATGTAAACCATGTCTGCACTTTTCTGTCAAAATTTTTTCCTATTAGAAGACTTCAGTAGAATAGATTTGTTACTGTGATCCTGTGTTGTGCAGCTAGAACAGTGAGTATGCAGGTTGGCATGGAAAACAAACTGAGTACAAAGCTACTCTGGGAGATCAGTTGATTTAAATTGCTGTCTATCTGTCTTTTCTTTGAAAATTATTTGATTGTGCTTAGCACAGTTTGGCTCAGTACTAGGAGAAGGACCAAATATTTGCATTCTTGACTGGGTATGATACTGATCTTTCTCAGAGCAGAGGCTTAATGAATACATGATGGGTGAAAGATTAATACCTATAAATATGTTGACTAGCTGACACTGACAGTGCTGATACTCCGGCTTATTAAGACGGTTTGTCTCTTGTCTTGTGCTTTCTTCCTTCAGTTTATTTTCTGAGTTCGTGGCAATACAGTCTTTGCAATTTCTTGCTTAGCAGATTTGTCTTAATGTGTTTGGTAAAGCCTCTATACAGAGAAAAAGTGTACTCATTTTAGGAACGACTCAAGTCTTAGTGGATGACTTGAGTTGTTTGAGTATTGTGATGTTGGCGCCAGTTACATGGAAAACCAGTTTTTTTACCTTCATCATTTAGAATAAGGGAATTTTAGAAGAGTTAAAGCTTGCTGGTGCTTCTTGATGCTGTTTTAGTGCCCTGTGTTGAGATTTGCTGTATTTGTGAGTTTATTATAACTGGTCCAGAATTACTGTCTATGCGTGTGTAGCACACTGAAAGATACTGAGTTGTCCATTCTGTGAGCATTCCAACTCTGAGACAGAGTAACATGTCTAACTGTGTGTTATTAACTTGTGGGCCAACAAGTGGATACAGTAATCTGTGCTAATAATTTCAGAAGCATAAAGTTCTTGCAGAGAGTGATTGCCAGTCCTTTGATTATACGAAAATTTCAGAGCAATGCCATCAGGAAGAGTTAGTGAAATTGAGTTTAGCTCCACAGAAAACAGATTAGATCCTTTTGCAGGATTAGGGTTCCCCCCCCCCCCCCCCCCCCCCCCGCCCCTTTTTGTTTAGCTTCAACCTTTAAATACAGTATCTCTTCAGTGTGGAATACAGTTTTCAGTAACAGCATATTTAACAGTTTCTAGTGTGTTTTCTAAATAGGTGAACACAAATATGCTTTCTGCACTAGACTAAACTACAGATAAAAATCCCTGAGTTACTTAATTTTAAGTGTACATGTATCCATTGTGTTGAGACTACTGATTTTTGTCAAGTGGAGAGCTTCTAAACTTTTGATTGAAATTACAGTATTGTTTATGGTTGAAACTTTAAATCCATAAATCCAGGATTTCATTTATGTGCCTGGATCTCACGATCCCAAACTGGTAGTGTTCTGCACACAGGTGTAAATGTTAAATTGTTAAAGCTTTGAATAGTTTGGTAGTGGAGCATCTTTCCTGGTTTGCATATGCTTTTAGTATTTTATGTAATGTTTTCCCTTTTAAGAAACTGTACTTTATAGGAACAATTCTTTTAACATGATCCAATTCTGTTTCACTGTTTTTCTGTAATCCAGGGATTACTGAATGCTACAAACCAAATAGGTTGAAACTATATAATGGAATCCAGTCTGTTCTTTGTTTCCAGGATTGTGATTCAGGTTTCTGTTCTTTCTCAGGTGTCTCAAGGCACTTGAATACACTAAGCATTTAGTGTTAGATTTTCCATCATCTGGTGTCTCAGTGCATTGTAACACATCTGTGTGATTTATTATGGAGTCTGTCTCGTGATATACTCTCATTATACTTATTTCTTAACCTGTTTTTTTTTTCCCCTCATTTTGTGATATCAAAATTCTTTTAGAGCAATGGTAGGTGATTATTTTATGGAGTGACCTTCCAAAGTAAAAGTATGTTGACTTTTGTTGGCTTAGTTAGATGTAACTCGGAGGTATCAGTGGCCATAGTGCTCAACAGGTGTTTTCTGATAAATGACTGGCAAACAGAATAAAATAAGAAAACCTATTTAAATAGTAGTTGAAGTGTCTTTTGTATAGATACCTCTCTGCATAATACTAAGACATTTATA